AGCACCCGAAGCTTCGCACAGCCCTACTGAACAGCTCATCACTATCTCCTTCATTTCCTGCAATCTGACAATCTGGATGAAATAACTTATATCATGGGTATCAATGACCTTTTTCTGACCAGATATCAAGGTTATTTCTCCATTCTCATCCTCCTAGATATAGGACCTTAAAATTGGCTGAATACTTCCCACTTTTTAACACTCTCTTGGAAATTCAAAAACTGCTTTCCTGGTCAGGTATATCCATAAAGAATTATTTGGAGCTAGGTCAGTACCAGAAGCAATATAGCCATATTACCACGGAGCACTATTTCTCACCAATTAATTAGCTCAGGTGGAGTATCATGCTGAAGTGACTACTTCTGACACCAAAGTAGCATTCAGAACAAGTTCTGACACATCCACATGACAATGAGCAGTGCTTTGCAGATATACTTGTACTCTTCCTACTTCTTCCTTGCGATCCCTCAGTTTCTCTTCTGCTGGTTCTTTCTCCCTCTATCAGTCTACCAAAGGGTTAGGTCTTCTGTCCTAGGCCTCTTCTTACTCTAACCTTTTATATAGGCAACCTCATAACTAGAACTGCCATGTCTATTGTAGAGCCTCTCAGGTTTACTTCTTTACCCAACCTTTCCTTTTCTGTTCATCTTTATATTTCAAATTATCTGCGATGGCAAGTCCTCCTGCCAGCTAAAATTCAATGCATCGCATCAAAACCCAAAAAACTTTTCTTTCCAAATACTTCTTCCCACTTCTTATTATATAACTATCATATACTGTCATCCTATTTCACTGTTGCAGAGTCTCACAACTTTTTGTCATCTTCAGCTTCCCTCTCCCACAGATATTCTACCAATAAATCATGCAACATCTATCTCTGCAAGACCATAAACATCTGCCTGCTTCTTTCCATCCCTGCTGCTAAAAATCTTAATTATATTAGAACTTCTAATCACTCTGCCCTCTCTGGCAATCCTGATCCTCACCTCCCCCATCTCCAGTCAATTCAAACTTCTCCTCATTAACATCCCCCTTTGCACCTGATGTTTTGACAACATTCAGGATCTTCTAAAATGGTTTTGGTAGCGTCCCATTCTTAAATAAGATTAAAGCTTCCTGTCCTTATTTTTCAAGGCTGTCCATATATTTTTCTCCCCTACATTAGCTGTTTACCTTTGACCCCCACTGGGCTCCTTTGAAAATCAATCGAAAATTACTTGAAACACAAATCCACTGCAAGCCAAGGTGGGAAATCTCACTCTTATTTGTTCAAACACTTTTCTTGCTCAGATCCATGTCTGCTTTCATGCTTCCCTTGAAACACCCTTTCTGACCCAATGTATTACTTTTCTTTATCCTCTTTCCACTCCTCTCAAAAAACAACTTTTGCAGGAGAAAAATTCTCTATTATAACCCTAATATTAAAAATAAGGGGAACTCACCCCCTCAACTCTCAAGTACTCATTAAGATCATTGTGGCAGTGCACCTTTGGGTGCCTGCCACTTTAAGGGCTGGGAGCATGCAGCCGGCAGGTGTTTGATTAGGGCAGCCATTTTAGGACCCAACTCACATAAGCAGGCAGCAGTTTTGCTGCCAGCTGCTGAGGGAGAAACATCATCTGGCTGAGCTACTGCTTGAGGAACATCTTGGAGGTAAGGGCAGGAGCCGTGGGGATGGTAGGAGGCTCCTGGTCCTAGGCATGACCTGAAACTGCACCCTATTGGGGAAGCGGGGGTCTGGTGGGACTGCCTGTGGCAGCCCCTAAGAAATACCAGACCAGTTACTCCCCCTGATGAAAGACAGGTAGGGGTGCCTTAACCCCAGCCCCCACCATCTGGTGGGTAACTATGAGAGTGTGGAGAGCAGTGTGGGCCAGACACACTAACAGAGAGGCACCTGAGCCCAGCAGGGATGTGAGACCCTGGAGACCCCAGAGCGGGTAGTGTTGTGGTGTGGGCCTGCACAGAGTAGGGTGTAATTTGGGGCACCTGACTGTGATAGTGGGGTGCAGAGTACAGCTGTAGAGGGTGGCTTGAAGGACAGTACATGGGCCAACCTCAAGTGTGAGAGCAGGAAACTAGTTGCCCAGTCGGGGACTAAGGGCAAAAGCAGCCCAGCGGCATTACAAGGTGACACCATATAGAGTAGGTGCACTCGCGGGATCTGAAGTTGCTGTGTGGTAGTTAGCATGTGAGTAGTGAAGCCCGAAGGCCCAAAGGGGTCACTCATGGGGAGCAAGGGCAATAGGGAGTGACCCAGTAATGGGCGGTATGATAGAGGCACCTGTGAGAGGGGCACAGAGTGCAAGAGGCGCCTGTGAGAGGTGGGGCAGCATGAGTGAGAATGTCTGGAAGAGGCCAACAAAGAACTGAGTTTGCCCTGGCCTCATACCGGGGAGCAATACCAACATGGGTGCCCTCTTCCAGGCATGGGCCACAGTGCAGGGAAGGTTCAGAGTCGTGGATAGCGCCCATGGCATCGGGGTAGTGAATGGGCAGCTTCCCATTTAATATATCAGAGTAACTTTCAAGTCGTGGCAGGTGAGTCAGGGAGGTGGGCAGGCTAACTCAAGATCTAGACCTAGAGACCCCCTTGTCACAATCATCTACAAACCTTTTTAAGTGAGCATAAATTTATACTGTCCTCTCCTACATATTTCCCATTTTCTGTTCCATCTTAACATTTTTGTCATCTACAGTTTGTAATTAAATAATTTAGACAGTAAATAATTTGGAACAGGAATTCTATTTTTCTGCTGTCCATATCTGGTGTTATAACAGGTGAATAATAATAAGAGCATTAGTAATAGATGTCTAAAAAGAAGTTTCCTAATCAAAACAAAAAACTAACCACATGAAAAGTTCAGATGAGAAATATGCCCCAAATGTGAAATGTACACTCTGGAAAGAACTGAATTACTTTTCCTTGAAGTGCTGTTATACTTCAAAAAGTGAATCAGTAAAAATGGAATCCTGTATTTCCATGTTTATCAATTATTTCATATCATATTTTTCTAACTGCCAACTGCACAAACTTGATCCCGGATCTGACATAATGGTATGTGCTTTCTGGCTCATACATCACCATAGTAATAAGGATTTTGCATTTGGAACTCAGTCAACAGTTCTGTTGGTGGTGCATAAGCTAGAATAATTATGCTTTTGCCAGATTCATGTGCAATCCAGTTCCAATTCATACAATTTTATTTGCTTTCAAGGGTTAAAAAGGAGCACAAGAGTGGCTCTGAGGCTAAAGATATACAAGGAAAAAAAATGTTGAAATTGCATTCTAATTATGCAGTGTTTTGTCTCTATCTACATTTTAAGTTCGATTTTTTTAAAGTGCATGAACTCAAATCTATATGTGAAATGTGCAGGTAAGTGCCCACCAAGTTAGTATGCATAATTAGTACAAATAGAAAGCATAGCTGTGCATTTATGTACACGCTGATACTTTTGATAGATGTGCAAATTAGGCATGCTAGTGTGCCTTCACAGTTAATTCAAAATCTATCCAACAAAAATTCTAGTTTACTAGTTTCTGTTGACATTAAATGGAAGAAAACCAGCTAAATCCTTGCATAAACCACTCTGGAAACATACTCTTTGTTTATATACATATGCCATCAAAAGAAAACAAAACTGCAGTTCACATATCCCTATCACATTTATTCTGAAAAGCCTGACAGTCACATTTCTAAGGCTACAATAAAAGTACTTTTCATTTAAACTATGCACTAGTGGTTTACATCTACATGAGGCTGACCTGCAGGATGCCCCAGACAACATCCAATAGCCCTCAAAAATTCAATTTTTCATAGTGTTTAAAGCCAGAAGGACCATTGGATCATTTAGTCTGACCTCCTGTATATCACAGACCATTAGGTTTCACCCAAATATCCCATCTTAAACTCAAAGAGTGGAATTCTATTACCCTTTGTGATCTATGTGGCAGTTTTCCTGCCATATAAGCAGCTTTTTGGCATTTACACACAGTTTACAATTTTATTACCCTCTATTACCCAGGCAGTGTGGATGCATACATCCATTAATGTTTATTGAGCATGCGCAGTAGGCTACATGCTGGCCAGGTGCCTATGTGGCTATGTATGCGCACCCAGCGTACATGCATAAGTCACAGAATTGTAGCTGGACAAAAACCCATAGAAAACAGGTAGCCTGGGTGGGGAAAGAGAAAGACTTGCCATTTTTAACGTCAATAACCGACTGGTTAGGGCACTTGCCCAAGAAGTACAAGACTCGGGTTTTAGCTTCACTTCTGCCTTGCCCAGAAGTGGTTTTAACCTCCATCTCTCTGACTTGTCATCCCAGTACTCTAACCAGCAGGACAGAGGTTAGGAATTATCCAAGCCCTTCTTCCGTAGCTGGTCAACTTGGCAGCTAAGATGTGACACCAAAAACCCCCCCAAAGAAAACAAGCCAGGGGGTATGTGGCTCAGTGAGATGGCTGCTGGCTCAGCAGGGAGCAAACCCTGGGTTTTAGCCTGAAACTTTGCCCCAGGAATGCAAAAACATCCCTCCTGTTGTCCATGCAACTTATCCATGATTATTTAATGCCACTTACAGTGGCTCAGTTGCTCCAGGCTTATCCCCATTTGCTGCTCTCAGGCTGGAGTAGGTGTAGTGGAATCAACTTGCAGTAGCCTGAAACATTTGTGCAGACATGAATAGTGGCGTGTGTTCAGTCCCATCCTTATAAGGACCCATTTCCCTAATGCTATACTTAAGCCCTCCAATGCCTATGAATGAAAGGGATGAATATGGAAAACATGCACATTATGAAAGAGCAAACTTACCCCTGAAAATTTAATGTAAATATATTATGATGCTTTCTTTTTACATGATTTAAAGAAAAAAAAAATTAATGCAGCAAAACTGTTTTTGTCTGTCAGATTGTCACCTACTTAACAGGATATTACCTACTGTCATGAGCACTGGTACATTTTAAAAAAAATGTGTTTTATATAAAAGACCTGTACCTCAACATGGCACTAAAACCTTTCTTCTTAGTTTTCTTCTCTGGATCTTCATTGTCTTCTTTCCTTTTCTTCTCTTTTACTTTACCCTTGCTCTTTTCTTTTTTCTTTTCTTTCTCTTTATTTTTTTTGTCTTTCTTTGCCTTGCCTTCTACATCTTCTAGGTCATTATTCCCTTGAGGGGCTGATTCAAAGTTCTGGGCTTCCTGGCCAGAGTGAGAGCTCTTATCAGACAAACCATCTGCAGAGAGAGAGAGAAAGAGAGAATCAATACGAATGGTTAGGGGCCATTTCAGATCACAAAAATGCAAACATGTGAAATACAGAATCTGTGTAGAAAAGTGCTGCAATAATTCACAGTGCATGATCATTTAATTGGATAATTTAAAAAGCAGACTAAACATAACTAGTTAATTCAACCAAGGCTGTATTGTAAATCAAGTACAGAATTATTATATTTACTTGTTTTCTAGTTACTATTTCTGGTATGAAAAACCTTGACGTGGTAAAACACTATTCTTTTTGAAATCTGGCTTGTTAACCCTCATCCGTTCAAGAAAAGCCCACATGCTGGGACACAAACAGTGAGAGCTTATTTCAACAAGAGGTTCTGAGGACTAATATAACCTAACTATATTACAAAATGAATAAATCCTTAGGATAAGGCCATTTTTTATGTCTGTAAGAGGAATATAAAGACAATTTTTGTCACTGGTTAGAGAGCTACTCTAGCTTTTATTTAGGAACTCCACAGTTCGTGCTATAAAGCAGAAGTCCTCAATCAGTAGGCTGTGACCCTGCGGCAGTGCCATGAATAGGTGCCATGGTGCTGTAAGCACTTTGCCCTTCCTATATTGCTGAACAGAGTTTCTGTTACATTTTTGCTTGATGGAAGAAGTTTCAATATGGAAAAGGGAGATGCAGTATTGAAAAGGATGAGAATAACTACTTTAAAAGCAAGCAGATGCCAACGGATATTATCAAGATGGATAATGAAGAAAAATAGTTACTCTGCAGGTAAAATTAAGTAAGTAAACCTTTCTGGATGAGGAGGCCTAATCCATCCGATTGCCTCAATGAAATCAATGAAAGAGTTTCCATTGACTTCAACAGACATTAGGCTGGGCCTGGATTGTACTCAATTTGACAAAGATTTAAGAAACACTTGGTTGACTTCAGTGCTCTACCGAACAGAGCCTCAACCTAAATTAAGAAAGGGATGTTTCTTAAACAAGTACATATAACAGCATACCCTCTTCTACGTCTTCAGGTCCATCATAAGATTTGTCAATGGCAGCTCTGAAACTCTCGTTACAACCTCGACCGCGGACCATGTGAGGCCTGGGTCTGTGGAAAGGAAGCTCATTCTTCTTGACTTCAGCCACAGCAGTCTGCAAGCTTTCCAGTGAGCTGGACTTTTTTAAACCCAGAGTTGGACCAAAATCTTTGCCAGGAGATTCTGGAGAGCAAAGAGTAAAAAGTTTACATTTAAATTACACAGAGAAATAAAACTAGTACATATACATGTTTAACTCTGCAATTCCTTTACTTGGCAGCTCTGAAATAACACACAAACAATTTATTTATAAAATAATATCAAGGTAAACCTGCGTCAGTAGAAATTCCAGGGAATTTATGTAAGGAGTGAGTCGTCACTTGTGGGATACATTCTCTCGTATCAAATTTTTCAAGTCTGCCCAAAATGGAATTTCAAACTTGGGATGATATTAGTAATTTTAACAGTAATCACACTAACCCTTGTCACTGCTGAAGGCCTCTGTTCTAAGAGAACATATTACTATTATGATTGCCTTTTATGATCAGGTCACAAAGACAATGGATGCAGGTGTTGCCGTGGACGTAGTCTTTCTAGACTTCAGCAAGGCCTTTGACACCGTCTCCCACCCCATCCTCATTAAAAAACTAGGCGACTTTGGCACTGATGCCTACACAGTCAGATGGATTGCAGATTGGCTGAAGGGTCGTACTCAGAGGGTGGTGGTGGACGGGTCAT